TTAATTATTATATTCTTTAATTTATTAAAAAATAAAAACAAAAAGTGTAAAATTTTTTAAAAAATATAACTTAAAAGTATAATAAATAATTATATTAAAAAATATAATATTAGTTATTTATGATCGCAACAATAATCTCTTACAAAGTCATGTGACAGGGAATAATTTTTTTGTCCTTCACATTCACAATTCTCCAAGGTATAGGTGCTCCCATATTAAAGAAGAAGAAGAAAAAAATTCCTAGGTGCTATCATTATTTGATCCGAGGAGAGAATCTTTCCTTCCAAGAGAGAAGGTCAACGTCAAGCATTTTTTCTCCTAATTTTTTTTGGAGTCTGGTTGACATTTTTCTCTATATAATGAGTTTAATTCAATGTAAGACAAGAAAATTTTATACTTTTATATTAGTGCCCATTTACGTGAAAATGTACATTTAAATATATTTAAATTAGAGAAAAGTGTTTATTAGTTTGGATTAATTTTAAGCACTCTCTAATCAAATAAAATTCTTTCCCAAAAAGAAATTAAAGCATAAATAAGAGACTAAGAAGTTATATGCTCAAATCTTTCTATTAATTTTTTCTTTTTTGAAAGTCTCATTAAATCAAACTTCGAATATTTAAAAGGAAAAAAGGCTTATCATTGAAAAATTATAGTCAAACAAATACAATTGACTTAGAATGAAAAACGTTTTATCCATGAAAAAGGTGACTTAAAATGAAAAACGTTTTCATTCTATGTGAATTATCCAGTAACTTTGTATTATTAATATAATTTCTCTTTACTTATAAAAAATAAATTTTCTAGTAGTTTTAGAAAAATTCTAAAATTAGATCTATAATTTGATTTAGCACCAAGAGTAACATTTTCGATAATTTCCTGCTGTAATTATATATATTCAGTAATTTTGAAAGTTAAATATAATATTAAACAAGTGTAATTTTATACTGTAAATTTAAGATTTAAGTTTCGAAGACCAACATTAAATAAATTAATTTTCTTAATCTCATCAAGTTGATGCAAGGTACGCTTTTAAAATTATTTAATAAAAAATTAATTTTGAAAATGTGTGAAAATTACACTAGTATAACCTAATTGTAAATAAATTCAATAAGATGACTCAACGATTAAAAATTTCAAACTTCAATTGGAGTTCTCAAGTTTAAATTTTGAATTAGATGAGAAGGGATTTAGGAGCAGAGGGAAGATATTTCTTCTTATATATCTCATAATCAAATATATAAAAAAATAGCCTAATTGTAAATAAAAGAATATTAATATATATAAAAAAATTAGATATCAACTTGTATAGTAAAAAATTAGGTGAAAAGTATTTTAAAATTATGTTATTTTAATAAAATTTTATTTAAAAAGATGTTAAAATCCTTTTTTGGTCCCTCTACTTTAACAAAAATTCTTTTTTAGTTTCTCTATTTAAAAAAAACCTCTTTTTAGTCTCTAAAATTTAAAATCTAACTTTTTTTTTAGTCACTCCGCTATCTTTTTACATAAATATCATGTTAGATAATGAAAATTTCAAAATAAATTAACTAAAAAAGGGTTTTTTTTTTAAGTAAAGAAACCAAGATGGTTTTTTTTTTCTAATTAAAGTATAGGGACAAAAAGACAAAAGGGTTTTTTCTTTTTTGACCCAACCCTTTTGTCTTTTTGTTTCTTTACTTTAGAATTTTCGTTATCTAATAAGTGTAAAAAAATAACAAGAGCTAAAATGAGGTCGAATTTTAAATTTTAGTGACTAAAATGGGACTTTTTGAAGTAAAGAGACTAAAAAGAAATTTTTTGTTAAAATAAAAGATCAAAATGGAATTAATATTTTCATTTTAAAATATCTTTTTCTTCTAAATTTTTACAATCCCAACTGATAAACAAACATTAATCTCAATATATATTCAGTGTTTCTGGTCCCCCTTTTTTTTTTTTTTGTGTGTGGAAACAGTCTTTCGTTAAAATGCATCATTTTAGGCACACCCCCCGCGTTTTAATCTCTCAGACAAAACCGCAACAAACACAAAACTCTGCTTTCCTCCATTCAGATATTCTGTTTGAATTTCGTCTGCAATCCAATCCACAAATCCGATTTTCTCTATCTTTAGCCGCAAAATCTCCAATTTGGTAACTCAAGATCATCCCTTTTTTCCTCTGTGCGGTAAGGTTGGTGATGATGGCTTATCTACATCATAACCCTTCAACAATTTTTTCTCTGACTCTGATTCTTCAGAAGAGCCAAAACCCATCGCAGGCTTTGTGTTTTCTCTTCTAGTTCCTCTTTCATTCTGTAGAATTCGATTTTCCAATCAATTTTTTCGTGTGTCTCTCCATACCCATTTTCTCCAATTGTTTTTGAAGGGTTTTCAGTTCATATTTCATGTGCTTTAAGTTTTGTATGATTTGTTTCATCTGGGTTTAGATAAAGACGGCCCCTTTATTCCTAGAATTTAAGTTTATTTTCTAAATTCTGGGTCATTGGTCTTGTCAGATAATGGTGGGATTTCGGTCGTTTTCCTAGTGTTTACTTTTCTTTTTGTTTGTTTTTCTCTCTTGTAATTATTTAAATAGTTGGTAACAGGAAATTGTTTGTGGTTCTGAGCTACGAAGGGTCAATTTTATATTTTTTTTCCAGGTTTTATAAAAGACAACAAGTATTCTCGACATTATTATTGGTGTGTGTTTTTTAGTATCCTAAAAAAGCTTTGGATTATTAGTTCAATCTTAGAGGGAATTTAGAATTGTAATTGAAGTTGGAATAGCTCAGGGGTTGGTGAAATTGGGTTTAGATTCCATCATATTTTTTCCTGTTTTATTTGAATTTTTATCTGTTTTTTAGGTAGATTATAAACTCTGAATTGCTAGTTGAAATTGAATAATTGATATTATATAGGTTCGATGCAAACAAATAGATAGGATTCTGTCTATATATTTTCTGTTTCTTGAATCCTATTTTGGGTCGAAGGTATTCTTTCATATTTGGTGTTTCCAGTACTTAAGTTGTTATTCCATCTCGGTTTTTAAGTATGGATGTGAAAACTGGTGATGAAGGTGATGTTAAGTCACCCAAGAAATTAGATAACCAGGTAGAGGGTGCGAATTCAAAGATCAAGGGTACAGGAAGTGTTAGTGGTAAAGATATGATTTTTAGAGCTGATAAGATTGATTTGAAAAGCTTAGATATGCAGCTGGAGAAGCACCTGAGTAGGGTTTGGTCTAGAAACATTGATAATCAAAGCCAAAGGCCTACAGAGGAGTGGGAGATTGATCTGTCTAAATTGGATATAAGGTATGTCATAGCTCATGGGACTTATGGGACTGTCTATCGTGGCACTTATGACAACCAAGAAGTTGCAGGTACTTGTTTCTATTGCCCTTTTCTTATTATTCACCCTTTCCTTTATTGTCATACTTAGTTACGTAGAAGATAGAGGAAAGTATATGTAAAGTTGGAATCCTTATACTCTTTTTGGTTCCTGCAAAACTTGTCAATTTTTGTAGCTCCTTTTTGAATAACTAGTCATTTTAATTTGAGCTGATTTAAAGTTTAGTGGCAACAATTGCTCAGTGTTTCTTTGTCATTTTGCTTCAAAATTATGTTAATTCACATGGGGTCCGAACTCCATATGGAGTTTGGTTTTAACCTTTTACTTTGGGTCAATCATCTAAAGAAGATGACATTGCCAAGACCTTCTCAGTTATTTTAAAGTTGGAGCAATATATATAGATTAAAACTGTGAACAGAATTTTAGCAAAATATTGTCTGGTTATTAGATGTCACACGTGAAATTTCAAGTTTGGTAGGGAATTGTTTGAACTATATCCAATTAGCACTCTAGGTGGCCTGATAGTGCAATCTTTTATATTAGCTAATGGTATATAAGAATGTTTTTATTGGACAGTTTGCTAGTGATTTGATCTAAGGTGGTTGCCATTCTTAGGTCAGTTCTCCGCTGCTTAAGCTTTGTTAATCAATCAAACATCATTGCCTTTTCTACAGTGAATATGGGTTGCTGAACTAACTCCTTTATTCATGTACTTTTTGATTCTTAATTTTACGTTTCTCAAGAGGTTTCAGGTGGAACTTGAAGAGTATAATGGTGCTAATAAAGACTATTTATCTCTATCCTCTTATCACGATAGACTATTTTGAGAACCTATATAATAGCTCCTATATTGTGGATATGGATGTTCTTATGCAAGAATGGAATTTAAAGTTTGCAAACTTTGGTTGTAAATACATAGAATGTGGTTTTGTCGTGCTTCATCTGTAGTTGGTCTTTTAAGAAGGCAATTTGAAATTTAAATAACACAAGCACAAAGCATTTTAACTGAATTAATAAACACTAATTAAACTCTTTCTTAACTGATTTAGTTCTATTTTCTTTTGCATAAGTGGGATTTGTAGCCATAAATGCATTTTTAGTTTCAAGTTCTCACCACACTATATATGTTGACTATTGTAGTGAAGCTGCTGGACTGGGGTGAGGATGGTATTGCCACAGCTGCTGAGACTGCTGCTCTTCGGGCATCATTTCAGCAAGAGGTTGCTGTTTGGTATAAGCTTGACCATCGTAATGTTTCAAAAGTAAAATTCTTTCTTCAATTTGTTATTGTATTTTGTTGACACCTCATTATACTGAAACATCGCATCTTAATGTAAATCTCAGCGTTCCTCAACAGGATCATTTTCCATCACAAACTAGTGAAAATGTTGATACTATATCTACTTTATTACCATTATTGTTTGGTAGAATCCTTTTATTACCATTTAAAAATATTTCTAGGTTCTAATTCTTTTTTCTTTACTTTTTCATATCTGGATTATAGTTTGTTGGAGCCTCAATGGGAACTTCAAACCTTAAGATTCCTTCAAACAATTCAGCTGATGCTCCAAATTCTCTTCCTTCTAGAGCATGTTGTGTAGTTCTGGAGTATCTCCCTGGCGGCACACTTAAACAATACTTGATAAGAAATAGGAGGAAGAAACTTGCTTTTAAGGTTGTGATCCAACTTGCTCTGGATCTCTCTAGAGGGTGGGTTTCTTTTATAACATTCCTGAGTTAAAACTGTGAAAATGGAACTATTCTGATGAAATCTACTTATTTCAATTTTCAGTCTCAGCTATCTACACTCAAAGAAGATTGTACATCGTGATGTCAAAACTGAAAACATGTTACTAGATTCTCAAAGAACACTTAAAATTGCTGATTTTGGTGTTGCCCGTGTTGAAGCTCAGAATCCAAGCGACATGACTGGTGAAACTGGTACCCTTGGATACATGGCCCCAGAGGTGTGCCTTGTTAAATCTTGATTGGTTTTAGTGAAGAAGAAATGGTTCTATACTTGAGACATTTTTTCATCAATCAAGAGTGAACTTGAATGATATAGTTTCTGGCTCTCCATAAGTAATTGGTGTTGTTATTGCCAAATGAGGAAGGAAAAAGGAAGTAAAAATCTGAATAAATGTTCTACTCAATTCAAGGTGATATGGTTTGTTTTTGGAAAATGAAAAAAGAAAAGAAAAGAGAAAGGGATATGTGATGCTGCTTTTCTCATATTCCTTACTAGGGGCTGGTTGGGTAATGATGTCTGCCTCTTATTAGCTCTCTTGGTGAATATGTGTTGCTGTTGCCTAAAATTTAGAGATAAGGAAATAATTCTCAAGAAACGGAAAGCAGGAGATTTTCATATTTGGCCTTGAAGAAAATATTTTCCCTTGCTCTTGTTATTTCATACAACATGTGCATGTTTTGATTTGGGCTTGCACAAGCAAGTATTTAACACTTATAACAATGCAAATAAAGTAGTTGCATAACCAAACTTTGTTTTCCAGGGTGACCCCTAGAACTAATGAGATCAAATGTAGGTTCTTGATGGTAAGCCATACAACAGAAGATGTGATGTCTACAGCTTTGGAATATGCTTGTGGGAAATTTATTGCTGTGATATGCCTTACCCAGATCTTAGTTTTGCTGATGTCTCATCTGCAGTTGTGCGACAGGTTAGTTCTTAGTTCCTTTTTCTACATTTCTCTTATTGTTGGTTTGTGATATCATGGCATGAGGCAATTGGGTGCTCTGCCCTGTTACTGTCTTTATTCAGTTGTTATGAGATGGAACTTGGAATGGTTTCTGTCTTTAATCAGTTAATTTTTCATCTGCCATAACTCATATTATCAACAAATAGTTTTGCTTTTATATCTGAAATAAAATCCCAAACCTTTGTGAGATTTTTAAGGTTTTCATAAGAGAACCGTGCTCTTGAATACGGAGGTCCTAACTGATTGACATTGTCAATGTAATGCTAGCAATATTATTTCATTCCTTTATTGAAACACTAACTTGATAGCCCTTTAAACTTCTAGATGTAGCTTTGATGCTTATAGTAGGTCCACCCAGTTGTCTTGTTTGTTCCTTGTGAGATTTTTGCATTTCTGAATCTAATATGTTATTCTATAGTTTTAATTAGTTCCTCAAAACCTTCACATGCAAGTTTAAAGTTCAGTGAAGTGTATATGTATCACTGATGATTTGATGGATTGAGTCTTCTACTCTTGACATATTAACACAATTTGGTTTATTGATAGAATTTACGACCCGAGATCCCCAGATGCTGCCCAAGTTCTTTAGCAAATATCATGAGAAAATGCTGGGATGCAAATGCAGATAAACGTCCTGAAATGGATGATGTGGTGAGAATGTTGGAGGCAATTGACACAAGCAAGGGAGGAGGGATGATACCTGAAGACCAGACTCCAACTTGTTTCTGTTTCACCCCTCCTCGTGGTCCTTGATTTTTTTTTTTTCCTGTCCCCCATTTTTCATCCTTGGATGAATTAAGAGGTGCAGGACCTGCTGCATTCTCTGCTTATTTTTAATCAGAAATAAAGAGAACATGCTTTGGTAGTTTACTAATTCCTAATGCTTTGGTATTTCTTTACTGTTGATTTGCACACGAACGCACGCACAAACACACACATAGAAGTAACTCTCACGTCTCATCTTCTAATTTATCTCACATCCATTCTATATTAAAACTATGAAAATTATCAGAAGACTACAACATTGGTATCGGCTTTACCATCGACTTAATAGCGCTGGAACATCAATTTAATTAACCCAAAAACAATTTCGAGTTAAAGAGAAATATTG